GGAGTTCCTCTTATCCAGTTTTCAGTTCTGTCTCAGGGGTAATTTTTCCACGAGTAGTTGTAAATTGGCTGTGTCCACGGGAGGAGGTGAGTTCCGAGTCTGCCTACGCTGCCATCTTGACTTCGTCCTCCAAGAATTCCTGCAATGGAGATTTTTAAAAGTTTAACATTGGCATATGACTACTTGATATAACCCAAGCATGAGGCAAATATATTTGACGACTTTTGAAATACTTCTTTCATTGTATTTGGTACACCACAACATCCTATTGCAATTTTAATACACCTAAGCTTAAAAAGCTCAAAATTATACAATTAATTCCATTCATCTTCAATTAAACCTAATAATTGTTCAAAGTATTTTTTGCATAAAGCTTGTCAACATTTAGGTAACAATGTCATGAGGCCAGTTAGTACTTCCTACCCTATTAGGTCGTGGTCATTAATCTTTCCTGCTCATTACAATCACTGGAGGAGCTTTGAAAAATACTAATTTCTGTTTCCCACCTTCAGAAATTGTGATTGAATTGGTCAGGGGGTATGGCCTGGGCATGGGAGTTTTAAAACCTCCTCAGGTGATTGTACTGTGCAACCAAAGTTGAGACTCACAAGAATAGACCACGCGTGCTGGGTAATTTTATGTGGCTTCGTCAAAAACTTCCAGTAGGCCACATGGCACAGGCTTGTGGACTGTATTTCACCTATAAGCTAAACGTTCGCTCCTGGTTCAATACAAATGGATTCAATTTGATTTTCTCACAGTCCATTTCATTTCCTTTATAATCTGTTACCGTTACATGTGAACTAATGTGTCTTTGAGAAAGTTAAACATTCCAAATATACCTTAGCTTATGAAAAGCACTTGGGTAGATCATTAACCACCCTCAGTTTCTATGGCTTAATATTCCTTTTAAAATAATCAAAAACTCCTTATGCTTCGATAAAAAGAATCACTAGAATTGCTGCCTTAACATTTTTATGCATAATTTCAAACATCATTTTTTTCTTTTAAGGTCTTCTGCATATTGGAGAGCAACACTGTAAATTGTTCCATCCAATTTAAAATGAAAATTGACCTTTTTCTCTTTTCACAGATATACCTACTGCGGCTTGATGGACAGCTTAAAATTCTTAGCATTTATTTTATATATTGTATTGATTTTCACTATGAAGAAAAAATATCAAGGAAAAGATACTAAGCAATCGGAAAGTGGAGAAAAGCCATGAATGAAGCAAACATAGAATCCTTAAATAATGATGGACATTCTGCACCTCCAGCCAGAACAGACAATGAAACACATATCTAAGGGGAGAAAAAAATTCTTCTGTTGCTATTGTTTCCAACCAATGTTGTATTAATTCAGGAGGATGTTATTTTTGAGCAGTTCCTGCTCCTTTCACTGACATATCTCACACTCTTTAGTGATGATGGAACAATGAATCACCTATGAATTTATAATAATAAAATCAATTATCAATGAAAAAGAATGAGAGTTCTCATTCTTAGGGTATGGTTATGCATTTGTGGTTAAGATTAGAATGTATGATCCATACAGATTTAAAGTGAGAGGTATGGTTAGAAGTAATAGAAGAAAAAGTATTTGCTCAGGTCGTTGTAACCCAATAAAACCAGTGACTAGAAAATAGGTAGAGGTGAAAAAGGAGGAGAGAAATTAATAGCCTAAATAAAGAGAAAAGCTTAATACTTTTTTTTTTAAACAGTTTGGACTGTATTACTCAAGCTTGATGTCCAGTATATTGGAGGATTTATGCTATGATGACATTTGTCATTCACGTATTAAGTCAAATATTTCACAGATCTTATTAATTTATAATTTGAAGTTGTTTTTGCTAGCAATCCCTGATGCATCTTCTTCCAACCTGGCATTAAAATACTGCTGCAGAAGTAGAGATAATCGAAAATGTGCAAGCGATAGTAGGACAACCTATTGCAGAATGTGTTGAGCTTCTTTCGCGCCCATGGAAATGGGTTAGGAAAAACTGACATTAATTTGAGAAAGCAAAGCCCATTTAAGAAATGTGTCTTCATTCCATCTATTTGATGTCTGGAAGAAGTGGAGTCTGCCCCAGAAAATTTACCAGCTCTCTCTCAACTGCATGGTTTTTTTTGTGTGTGTTTTTGGTGCAAACAGACATCCTTCACATCCCCACAAGCAGCACAAGGAGGAAAGTGAATGAGAACAAATAGATGAACATTGCATTTGCTAGTGACAGCAGCTTTATTATGGTGAATGCTAGAAATTGTAGTTTTTATTCTCGGCAAGTTAAAAGAAATTTTGGGGGGCATCAGAATCACCTGTAAAACATTATTTTGAAGAAAGCAATTATGCACCTACCCCAGAGATTCTGATTCAAAACATTTGTAATGCAGCCTGGACATCTCCCTTAAAAAAAAAAAAATCCTTATAGAGTCCTTGATAGAGAGAGACAGAAAAACAAGCCACAGGACAGGAGAAGATATTCCTGAATATAGTGATGTCACATATCATGGATTCCTGCTAGAATCTGGGAATTGGCCTGGAAGTTATATATATTAACCTATTCTCAAGCTGTAGACTTGAGAGAAGATTCATTAATCACACAAGTAGAAATGTGGAAAAACCACCCACATGCTAGGTTACTATGTAACAAGTCTGATGAGATCTTGTCTCAGTAAAAAGTAAAGAGAGAAAACTATGGAGTTGCTTTTTAAAACATTGCAAAGAAAATAAAGGTCACATCTCAAACGTTTATTTATTCAATTATTGAGTGTCAAATATCTGTTAAGCAAAATGAAATATAATACTAAACAAAAACAAAGAAGGACACCACCTCATGGAGCTTACACTTTAATGTGGGAGAAGATCATTAACAAAATTAAATTATAAAATGTCATAAAATTATAAAATGATACAAATTAAAAGAATAAATTTATATTTACAGATGTGATATGTACGGTGAAGGAAAGGAACATGAAGACATATAGCTCAGATTATTTGATCTACTTCAGAATCCAAGAATCCAGAATAAATAGTAATTCTTATTTCAATGGCATTTATTGAACAGGAATAAAAATATTAGGGAAAATTCAACAGAGTTATGAATAAGATAAAGAAAGTTTTCAAGGAAGCAAAATAAGGCAAGAATGTAATTAAAATATACACCGGATAATGTTAAAAGAAGACAGCCAAAAAACCAAATCAATGATGAAGTAGTTATGTTTGAAAATTTGTGAAAATGTGGAAGAAAAAGATACAGAAGATAATTGTGAAAGAAGTTAGATAAATTAGAGGACAGACTAAAGCACCAGCCTAAGAAATCTGATATTTTTGAGGAAGAAATCAGATGTGGAAAAGAAGGGTTAATCGAAGATTTAGGGGAAGGATGCCTTCTTGCTCCGAAGAAAGACTTGAGTGTGCAGACCGATGTTGGTTTGTTTGCACCAGGTCTTCTCACTACCATCCACTTTCCTGCGATGGGGCCTTGGACCATGACGTTTCTTCCTCCTGAGATGCTCTTTTTTCCGCTTAGTTAACTGCTTCTCAGCATTCGGATCTAAGCCCAATCACCATTCCTTTAATATCTCTGACTTCTTCACTGGCTAAAAATCTTCCAATGTATCTGTAGCAATAGAGCACCTATCAAAATGGTAACTTTACATTTTTTATGATTATTTGATAACTGTCTATCTCTCCCACCAGTCATAAACTCTAGGAAGGTAGGAATTGAGCTCATTTTACCTATCTGTTTTTATTCCCAGCATCTAGCTTGGTGCCTGACACATAGCAGGTGCTTTATCAATTATTTTTGAATAAATGAATGAGTGAATGAATAAATGAACTCCAAAAATGCCAGTCATATGAAATATGAATGTTATAAATAAGAACTGAAAACAACATGAAAAGATAAAAACAGCTGCATTAAAGTCATTGGATTGGAAATGTTGGTTTTAGGTGTTTTGAAGATTTTCTTTAATCTTTTAAAGAATATTTACTATTTAATAATTAATATTAAATAATAATATTTAATATTTTAAAATGGGAAAAATAAATTTTTTTTTTTTTTTTTGTGAGGAGATCAGCCCTGTGCTAACATCCGCCAATCCTCTTCTTTTTTTGCTGAGGAAGACGGCCCTGGGCTAACATCTGTGCCCATCTTCCTCCACTTTATATGGGACGCCGCCACAGCATGGCTTGCCAAGCAGTGCGTCGGTGCGCGCCCGGGATCCGAACCAGCGAACCCCGGGCCGCCGCAGCGGAGCGCGCGCACTTAACCGCTTGCGCCACCGGGCCGGCCCCAAAATAAATTTTAAATTGTCAAAAAAGTGTCTTTTCACTGCCATCTACGTGCTAAGCACAGGAGATAAAAATATTAACGAAATAGACTCTTTGCCCTTTGGGAGCCCACAAATGAGAGGGAGAAATAGGCAGGTAAACACGTGATAATATACACTCTAAGAAATACTATAATAGAATAAAAATGTTCACGTCTCTCATTCACAGGGACCATGCTAATCTCTTGGTTTCACTTTCAACATATGTATTTCCAGAGATTTTACCAAAACAAAATTATTGAGAATTCATCATAACAAATTTGGCAGTGGCCATTGTCACTTTCCTCTTGTGTGCCTTCTACCCTTGCTAAATAGGCTGCACTTACCACCTGGAAACCAAGAACCAATCTGACGAGAAGCTGATTACACAAGTGGTGTAATTTCAGGAACATCACAGAGCGTTCTCCACCACTAACCCACAGACACACCTCTCACTCTCAGCCAATGTCCTTAAACTTGATGTTGCCCCAAGTTCCTTCATCAGAAGCTTATCCTTCTGAATTGAGACTTTGTTTCCATTTAAATTGGAAGAGATCATATATTATCAGACACTTCACAGTGTGAGTGAGATTCCAATCATTTTAAGAAATAGGTTTTTGATAGGAGTGGAAATGGAGAACATGAGGATATTCAGAGAGTAATAGAAAAAGTCACAGAAAAGTGAGATTATAAACACCAAAAAATCTTCTGTCTATTCACTGAAGGGGAGGAAGACTTTCCTCTACCCACTCTGGGTCCTTTCTGGCTGGGCTGCAAATTAAATCGACTCGAGACTGAATAGCAGGGGAAAATCAAGCAAAATTTAATAACATGTATACATGGGAGAAACCAGGGAAACTGAGTTTCTCTACAAATGACGGAGGTTTTTCACCTTTAATAGCATATTCAGGCAGTCAAAGGAAGTGTTGGGGGTAGGGGAGGAGACACCTATGGGAGTTTACCAGAAATCACAGTAAACAAGAGTATGTAGCTTTAAGTCCTCTCCTTTACTGATAAGAGTTTCCAGACAGAAGGTCATCCCCGCCCCTCTCCCCAGTACAAAGAGGGAGATACCTTTACAAATGTAAATGTTTGGTAAAGAGATCAGCATGGGCTTAGGAGGACCCTGCCAGTCTATCCATACTCAGAGTTAAATTTGTTTAGGCAGTTAGTGGGGAAGGACAAATGTCCCTCAGAGAAAACAATCAAGGTAAAGAGACATATTTTGAGGTGCCCAAATTTTGATTTCCCACATCACCATTTTATTTAGAACTGATCTTACCAATAATGACCCTATACATTTAAACTTTCTGTAAAAACGTTCCTGTGAGTCACATTCATTTTAAAAAGTCTTCGTTTGTTTAATAGCTCTAATAATTTGTCTGATAATCTATTGCCTATCTGAGTTTGGTTCTGGTGATTGCTTTGTCTGTTCAGACTGTGTTTTTTATGTCTTATAACATTTTGTTGACGGCCATAAATGTAGTATAGGACAGTTGATACTGAGGTAGATATTTTTTAATACTTGGAGATGAGCACATCTTTCCTTCTGCTAGGCCTGTAGTGTGGGGTTTGTAACAGGAGTAGGGCTGGGTTTGAAGTCTGTTGTTGCTATAGTTACCCTCTGCACACCAAGGGCTTTCAATTCCTCTAGAGAAACCCTATATTTGAGGTCTATTTCCTATGTGGATTTGGTACTTTCTTTGACCTATTACCTAGAAACAATCTGTCCCTTACAGCTCTCCCAGCAATATTCCATTCTTGTTTTGACTAGATGCTTGTTACCACGGGGGTAAAGGAGGGGGCCTTAGGCAGGCTCTGTGAACCTGGGTCTTGGGGGTGACCTGCCCCTCCCCAGGAGTGGAGTGTTTCTTCCTTGATTCCCTTCCCAGCTGCAAGGAGTTTTCATCAGTTCCCTCGAGCCACAGTTTTTGTCGCCCTTCCCACTGGAGAGAAAGGCTTTTGTTCCTTAGGGGAGACTGGTCTGAGTAGAATTTCCGCAGTAGCTGCTGTTCTACCCCAGCCAGCACAATGTGCTCGCTCAGGATTCTCTCTAATCTTCCCTGAGAGCGCCTGGTGGGGTTCCTGGAGGAATCAACTGTAAGAGGTTACAAATCCCCTCCTGTCTGCTGCCTTCAGGGCATTCACATTCTCAGACCAACACACACTTGGTCTTTAGCAACTCGTTAAAAATTTCTATCTGAACCGTTTTACTAACTTATATAGCATTGGGTGGCTTCTGCCCCAAGTATGTATGTGTTCAAATTCTGTTTCTCCCTGCAGGAGTCTGTCTCTCTCTAGCTTTCCAGTTAGCTATTTGTCCAATAATCTCAGTTCATTGATGGGTTCGAGAAAAGTTGTAATTTGTATTTTATCCAGCTTTTTCTTATCGTAAGGGTATGGCTGCGACATTTTTTCCTGCTCTCTGCATGTCTGAGCTGAAACTGGAAGTCTAACTTTTATTCCTTTGATGTAAAGGAAAATGGGTTTCAATTAACTTTATAAATTTTCGAGATCAATATGAATTATTTGAGAGTTCTTATCCTTTTCCTCACCTGATTCTAGTCAATAGATTCTCCAATAACTGGTAAATTATCTATTGGGTAAACCATTCTTAGTACACTTTTCATGCTGAAACATGTCTTTCCGAAAGCAACTCATTCCATAAGCCCAAGTCATTGGGCAAGAAGACTTTTATTTTGTTTTATTGAGTTTTTTTCTATCTTCTCAGATGATTTTTTTTTTAAGACTCGAAGTTTTTTAAAGGTAGTAGGTCTAGTTTTGTTAACTCTGGATTTGTTTTTTAATTCTTTTTTTTTTTTTTTCAAGGAACATTGGCCCTGAGCTAACATCTGTTGCCAATCTTCCTCCTTTGTTCCTTTTATTTAATCTCCCCAAAGCCTCAGTAGATAGTTGTGTGGCATAGTTGTACATCCTTCTAGTTGCTCTATGTGGGACACTGTCTCAGCAGGGCTTGATGAGCTGTGTGTAGGTCCATGTCCAGGATTTCAACTGGTGGACCCCGGGCGGCCGAGAGGAATGTGTGAGCTTAACCGCTACGACACCGGCTAGCCCCTAGCTCTGGATTTTTTACCCAAAGACTTATCCCTAGCATTTGTGCATAAAGAATTCTGCTGATGTTCTCCTAGCACTATCTTCCCTACTCTTAATATGATCTTTTCATTAATATGAGGTCTCTAAAGAACTGATAAAGAAAATAACAAATGATACCATTAAGAATGAAGGCAGAATAAAAGAATGTAATCTTGCAAATACATCTGATATTTTGAATGACTATCAGAATATTTCCAAAATTGTAAACTTGTTAGAAGTTATTAGGTAGATTCTACACTAGGTCTGCAAGTGATTTTTCTCCCAAATCTTAAGGAAACATACAGAATTATGAAAAGAATGAGCTTTTCCACTGGTATTAAAGCCTCTTATATATCCTTTTCCCCATACTAGCCATCCTAAGAAACTTATCTTTACTGATGGGAAGAATGTATCTCTCTCTCTCTGTCTGTCTCACATAACTCTATTACAGTCATTTAATTATCAAAAATGATGTTGGTGAAGGATGTCTTTTGAATTTCCCAATCGATGTGTCATCAGGATAAATTAAATTATTATTTTATTTGGAAATTGACTTCAACAGGAATTATAGATGTCTGAGGACTAGAATAGTTTCGTGATTGTCTTTTTATTTTATTTTTTAGTAATTTTTCTTAGAGCCAATTGCAAAAAGGTTTCATACTTTGCTTTTATCATCCACCAGGCTTTACTTCAGTAGCATTTGCTTATAATTGAGCTCTGAGCACCACTTGGGCCATTTCTATGATTTGTATCCTATATGAGTCATTTCTTTCTCTCTCTATATATATATATATAAAACATATAATTAATATATTAATATACATTAATCAGGCTATAATAGTGAGAAAAATTAAAAGAAAAGTAAGTACATTGTTTAAAAACATAAAAATAATCTGCTCAGTTGTTTGTTGGATCCACAAATCACTTGAGTAATAAATTTAAAAATTACACATGTGAGTCGTAAATTTTAAAATCACTTCCAAGATTTCCTCTGCCTCCTATGAGGCTGAACAAACTGAAAAACATGTTAAATATCCAATCAATAAAATAAACTCTTTGTTTCTATTCATTCTAGAGCAGGAGATAATATGAAATCAGTTTAAGTTTCAAGGCCACAATGTAGCATAACAGCATTTATTAACCCAACCCTAGACATAAGCGAGCTTTGTGTGAAACATAATTGGCAATATGCATCTACTCTCTAGAGATATATCATCCAATATGATATTCACTTTCCAAAATGTATCAAATATTCAATTGTGTTTTTCCCTTTCTCCCTCCTCCTTCCTTCTTTGTTCTTTCCCTTTCTTTGTCTTGCCCTTCTTTTTTCTATCTGAATAATTTGATTTTCAGCCATTAGGTGGAGCCAAGCAAGTAGATGTGTAGGTAAGTGGGTGCAGAGGGTAGCTATTTAAGGGAAACCACAGGGACCTGAGTGGGATATAAGAGCCCAAGACCCCAAGCAGTGTTAGGAGAGTGTCCATAAGAGGGATAGTCCAGAATGGGTGTCAGACTCCAAGGAGGGGTAAATTAGTCAGAATTCTCCAGAGAAACAAAACCAATAGGATATAGATATATAGGGATTATCTATCTATCTATCTATCTATCTATCTATCTATCTATCTATCATCTATCTGTCTGTATCTAACTATCATCTAGCTTATCTATCTATCTATCTATCTATCTATCTATCTATCTATCTATCATCTATCTATTTATCTATTTATAGTTGACAAGTAGCCCAGACATCCAGGGAAGAGGTGATGCTGCAGATAAAGTCTAGAGCAATTTACTGGCAGAATTTCCTCTTCCTCAGAGAAGTTCAGACTTTTTCTATTAAGGCCTTCAACTGATGGGTTGAGGTCCACCCACACTATGAAAGGTAATCTGCTTTACTCAAAGCCTACTGATTTAAATGTTAATCTCATCTAAAAAATACCTTCACAGAAACATCTAGAATAATGTTTGACCAAATATCTGGGTACCGTGGCCTAGCCAAGTTGACATATAACATTAGCCATCATAGAGGTAAGGAGGACATCACACACAGGGCATCCTGGCATGGATGTCAGAACCTGAATAGGGTGAGGAAGACATCCCTGTGGGGGGCAGCAGGGGGAGGTCTGTTCTGAGGTGTTGGAATCTGAGTAGGAAAAGAAGAGTTTCCGGGCAGGAGAGCAGCCCAGTACATAGTGTTGGAATCTGACTGGGGTGAAGAGGGCATCGGCAAGAGAGAGAGAATGGCACCAGCAATGGGAGACTGGGTGGCACCAGGGATGGAGGATTGGTTGCCAACACCGCACTGCCTTAATCACTTGAGCCTTATAGGTCTTCTTATCTGGTGGTGGACTTCTCTAACTTTATTCTTTCTCAAGATTGCCTTGGTTATTCTTGGCCTTTTACATTTCCATGTAAGGGCCAAAATAATCTGGTTAATTTCTACATTTCAAAAAGTACTGAGATTTTGAGGCCAGCCTGGTGGCATAGTGGTTAAGTTCACGTGCTCTGCTTTGGCGGCCCGGGGTTCACAGATTTGATCCTGGACATGGACTTACGCACCGTTCATCAAGCCATGCTTTGGTGGTGTCCCACATACAAAATAGAGGAAGATGGGCACAGATATTAGCTCAGGGCTAATCTTCCTCAGCAAAAAATAGTACTGAGATTTTGTTTGAGATTTCACTGAATCTATAGATAAACTTTGGGAGAACCAACATCCTTGCAATATTAAATCTTTCAATCAATGAACATGATGATATAGGTATTAATTTCTCTGAATACTCTTTTGTAGTTTTGGGGGTAGAGGTCTCAGACACCTGTTATGAGATTTATTCCTAGGATTTCAAAGTGAGTTTTTTAAATGCTCTACTACGTTATATGCTTTAGTAATATCACTTCCTAATTGCTATTGATATATTAAAAACTACATTTGATTTTGTGTATTGCCCTTGTATCCAGTGAACTTGATTAAAATTAATTTTGACAGTTTATCTGTAGTAACTGTTGGATTTTCTACATACACAACATGTCATTGACAGTTTTATTCTTTCTTTTCTTATCTTTATAGATTTTAATTCTTTTTCTTCTCATGTTTCCCTGGCTAGGACATCCAGTAAAATGTTAAATAGAAATGGCGATACCAGGCCGTCTCTTCTCATTCCCAATATCAGTAGGAAAGCTTCTAATATTTCCCATTTAACTATCATGTTTGCAGTAGGTTTTTTTTTTTAATGATGATTGTGTCCTGAAGCATGTTACATAAAATTTGTTGGGATTTTTTTCTTATTCTAATATTCACCTTTTAACTTCATTTTGTATTCATAATTTCGAATTTTTTCTTATATAGGCTCTTCTCTCAAATTTTATAAGCTTACAACTCCACAAAACTTAGCCCTGCCCTGCTAGTGCACATGTTCAGTGCCGCATCAGGTAGCCAGGCTCTAGCTGTCTTCCTACTCCACCATCCTTCACATGTTGTCTTTCATCCAAGTGCTTGTTGCCTCTTGGTTGCAAGATGGCTGCTGCTCCTTGAGGCCTCATATCCACAGTTCAGGAAGGAAGAAGGAAAAAAGGGCAAAAATGTCATCTCAGAAAGCTTTGTCTTTTTTTTTTGGAAAGAGTTTCCCAATTAGCAAGCTTCTGCCAATATCTCACTGATCAAAACTCTAATCACAACAAAAAATAAATGTTGGTGAGGGTGTAGAGAAAAGGGGATCGTCATATACTGTTGGTGGAATGTAAATTGTTGCAGCCACTATGGAAAACAGTATAGAGGTTCTTCAAAAAATTAAAAATATATCTGACAAGGGGTTAATCTCCATAATATATAAAGAACTCACACAACTGAACAACAAAAAAAACAAACAGCCCGATCAAAAAATGCACAGAGGAAATGAACAGACACTTCTCCAAAGAAGATACACAGATGGCCAATAGGCATATGAAAAGATGTTCAACATCACTAATCATCAGGGAAATGCAAATCAAAACAACACTAAGATATCACCTCACGCCCCTTAGAATGGCTATAATCACCAAGACAAAAACAACAAATGTTGGAGAGGATGTGGAGAAACAGAAACCCTCATACACAGCTGGTGGGAATGTAAACTGGTGCGGCCTCTATGGAAAACGGTATGGAGATTCCTCAAAGAATTAAAAATAGAAATACCCTATGATCCAGCTATCCCACTACTGGGAATCTATCCAACGAACCTGAAATCAACAATCCAAAGAGGCTTATGCACCCCGACGTTCATTGCAGCATTATTCACTATAGCCAAAAGTGGAAGCAACCTAAGTGTCCCTCGAATGATGATTGGATCAAGAAGATGTGGTACATACATAAAATGGAATAGTACTCAGCCATAAAAAAAAGATGAAATCGTCCCATTTGCAACAACATGGATGGGCCTGGAGGGTATTATGTTAAGTGAAATAAGCCAGAAAGAGAAAGACAAACACTGTATGTTCTCACTCATATGTGGAATATAAACAAACACATGGACAGAGAAAACTGTATTGTGATTACCAGGGGCAATGGGGGTAGGGGGTGGGCACAAGGGGTGAAGGGAGACATATATATGGCGTTGGACAAATAAAAATGTACAACCCAAAATTTCACAATGTTATAAACTACTAAAACATCGATTAAAAAAAAAAACTACCATACAATCCAGTAACTCCACTTCTGGGTATTTATCAGAAGAAAATGAAAACACTAATTTGAAGAGATATACATGCCCCTATGTTCATTGCAGCTTTGTTTACTATATGTAAGATATGAAAACAATCTAAGTGTCCATTGATAGATAAATGGATAATGAAGATGTGGTGTGTATATATATATATATATATACACACACACACACACACACACAATGGAATATTACTCAGCCATGAAATCTTGCCATTTGCAACAACATGGATGGACCTAGAGGGTATTATGCTAAGTGAAATGAGTCAGACAGAGAAAGACAAATACTGCATGATTTCACTTATATGTGAAATCCAAAAAACAAAACAAACAAACAAAACAAAACAGAAACAGAAAACAAACTGGTGATTACAGAAAACAAACTGGTGGTTACCAGAGGGGAGAGGGGTAGGGGTATGGGCAAAATAGGTAAAGGGGATTAAGAGGTACAAACTTCCAGTGATAAAATAAGTCATGGGGATGTAACGTACAGCAAAGAGAATATAGTCAATAATATTGTAATAACATTGTATAGTGATAGATGATAACTAGACTTATTGTGGTGATCATTTCATAATGTATACAAATATCAAATCACTATGATGTACATCTGAAACTAGTAGGTTATTGCATGTCATTTATATTTCAATAAAAAAAACTAATCGCTGTAACTGTAGCTAGCAGTAAAGGAGACATTCTTACATTTGTTTCTGTTATTCCTTCAAACAGGACTGGATTTTTTTCTTTCTCTTCATCAATCTGGTGTCATCATTTCCCACCAAGACTTGAATGGGAAGCTGATGCAAAAAACTCTGTTTGCCTAGTGACTCACCATATATCCACTGTGTTTGAAATTACATTGTACTGTTATTTGCTGTTCTATAGTTGTTTTCTGTGTATATTTATCCACCCTGATAAAATGACACCAACTTGAATTCTAGCATTAGTTTCACCCTCATCACGTACACACACTGACATGTACATCCTCTAGAGCCAAGCATAGAAATGAGAAAACAATTGTTTAATAAACATTCATTGGAGAGTCTCAATAACTTATAATTGGAGGACTTGGTTTTTTCTTTTTCCATAAAATACATTATTTCATTGATTATTTCATTTATTATTACTGTTGTTATTGCTAATGTTTTATTCTTTATGAAATATTATTTTTTAATCATGTTTTATGAGCACAGGGTAAAGAAAATCAGAGTTAGTGCAAAAGGAACTAAAATGAAGAACAAGGGCGAGACCCATGGCATAGTGGTTGGGTTCAGTGTGCTCTGCTTTGGCGGCCCAGGTTCATGGGTTTGGATCCCAGGCGTGGACCTACACCACTTGTCACCACCACCAGCTTGTCAGCTGAGGTGGTGACTCACATACAAAATAGAGGAAGATTGGCACAGATGTTAGCTCAAGGCTAATCTTCCTCAAGCAAAAAAAGAGGAAGATTGGCAATGGATGTTAACTCAGGGCGAATCTTCCTCTCCAGAAAAAAGCAAAAATGAAGGACAAATGTATTGTTCTTTGCTGCTCCTCATGATAGTCCACTGCTGCTGAGACAACCACTCTGAAGCAGTTCTAATAATATGTGTATGCCAAGTTTATCTTAATTTATCAAATTTAAAATATATTTTAACTCCATGCTATAAAATTGGAGAATGGTTATTCCCTCTCCTTCTGTTGACAAGTTTTTTGTTTTCTTAAGTTCTTATTTTTTGACTCCTGTATATATTGGTTATAGTTTGAATTATAAATAAAATGTTAAATCACTATTTCTATTTCCATTAACTTAGACTCCCCACAATATTGAACAAGAAAATTAGCGACCCTAGACTTCCCACTGCCTCTTTCTCTCCTGTTTCTCTCCTTCACTTCTGTCTGCTATGCCATCATTACCTTTACCTTGTCATGAGGGAGTACAAGTGCCCAGAATAAGAACTGACCTCCCCAGGCTGCACGGACTCCAACAACAGAGGTCATGGGTCACAAAGCACTCCCACGCCCACTTTCCCTGATCTTCTTTGCTCCACCAAGGAATGTCAAGAGAGAACCCTATACTTCATAGTAAAATACCAGCTCCCCCAGGAGGGGACAAGAGTGAGCCTAAGGCACTGGGTCCAAAACCATGTCTCTCTGGTCCTGCTGTGCTCCACTGAGGGAGCTCAAGTGGGTGAACTGTGCACAGAGTGACACTCAGCTTTCTCTGATCACCTTAAACCCATCAATAGAAATGAAGCAGGAGATGCAGGTAGTCAAGTAAGAGTCTGCTTCTCCAGTTTGCCTCCATGACAAGGGGTCACGAGGGCCCCCAGTCGCCACTCCTCCTAATTTTGATGCTCACAGTCTCACCAACACCCATCTGCCATGAAATCCATTAGGACTAATTTCATTATGTCAGTCACCTAAAATGCCCCAGAATTCCAAGTTATCTCTCAGTCTCTTTCTTCTAATTTCCATAAGTCTAATTTCCACACACCTCCTATTATTTACTTTTTCTCCCAGACTCCCATTCCTGAAATCTGCCCTTTCACTTTGTCCTCTAGAATGCACAGTCCATCATCACCAAAATCCTCTATATTCTCAAAATCATAAATGAGAGTTCTCTTTACCACTGCACTCTAACCAAAATCCTGGTTTCTCCTGAGGAGGACGCTTCTCCAAAACTTCTTTGTGGTAGCTGTTGACTTTTTCTCAGAACTCTCTGGATATAGGGTAAGTCCTTGCTCCTCCTTTTAGCTTCCAGACCATTCTCCCCACTTCCTCCCCCTCAAATGAAGCAGCTCCAATTTTCATGTCATCAGACCCTAACACTCAACTGTACCTCACTGCCCCACGTTACACTCCTCATTTCCAATGATTTTAGCTCCTCTCTCATGTTTCAACACTACTCCTGTCTTGAATCATGGTTATTTTTAATATACTCAGAAATGAAGTCTCAAACTTCAAGAGTCCGAAACTTAACTCTTAATCCTGCCCCTCAAACCTGTTCTGCCCCGTCTTCCTCATCTCAGTTGCTTTCTTCTCATATGACACACCTGATCATCAAGAAATCATGTTCATCTGCAAAATATCTGTAGACAGTCTTTCAATTAACTGGTCTATTTTTGTCCAGCTACCAACTTGTAGTCTTTAAACTTGCAACTCAGAGGCTCCTACCTACGTTCCAGGCTCCTTCTAAATGCATTCTCCATTATAGCTTCTTCCACTATGCTCTATCCCTGGAGACACTCCCATTCCATTTATATTACACAAAAATAAATATAGTATGACACTCACTTTTCCCATCCTCCCTTCTTGCATTGTCCTCATCATTAGGGATTTATGTAATTTTTTTATACATGGACTGTCATTTCAGTGGGATGGAGAATAAAGAGTAGATAAACATGGCTGTTCATTCTACTCTCTTGAACCAGAAACTCCATATCTTGTGTACAGCCTCTTGTACCTCTAAAATCCTTTCATTCTTTTATTGTATCCATAAGTTACTTAAATAATAAATGAGTAGATTTAGTTTTAAATGTGCATCTTGAATTTTATTAACCTCGGTTTCATAACGGAAGCTACTTTTTAAGAGTTTCACCCTTTAAGATGATTTATGGAAAGTTAGTGTTTGTGTTCCAACTTAGGACACCATGGGTGGCATAAACATTGGTATAAGGAGGCCACCTGAATCTGAGAAAGTGTTCCTTTGACAATATTTGACACTACAAACAGCCTTTAAAGACCAGTGTTTTTCTAATATTATCCTTTCATCCTTTGACTCAGACACTTGTTTTTAAGAGAGTTTAGTCACTAGCTTTGAATTGCTGAAAAAAAAAATTCCAACAATCTTTGCTATATGATTTTTAATAACCTGATTAAGTTTGTCAGTACTCTGAATAAAATGAGCAAACATATGACATGAGTAATAATGCAGGGAAAGAACTGAAAGCAAGTGATGGCATATTAATGAGTAATCTATTTTAAAAGAGTCATGTCTGGAGTGAATAGGAAGAGTTAAAGAACAATTCCTAAACAGAATAGGAAGACATAGTGATAAATTTGAATAAAATACCTCAATGTTCACATAAGCAGGATGAGAATTTCAGTCTTTAGATTACCCAATATCAAAGCAGAAATTCAATGGAATTAAATAGATTTTCATAATAGGAAATTTTTAGAATCATTTGGAAAAGGAGATGTGGGAAAGATACTCTTATTTTGCGTGAGTTAAAAGAGAAATTGCTGTTTTAATGTAAAAATAAAGCTGGTTCTAATATCCTGTTTTGAGAGTTGTTATAAATGTCCCTCTGAGGAAAGTAAAAAAAAAAATTGTTTTGAGGTTCTTAAAGACAGGAAAAAGTTACCTGTAGTACCTCTATTGTTTTTAAAGACAGTTAAGTTGTAGTGTGTGCTCCAACTCCGGGAAGCATGATATAATAGAGCATTACAGTTTAGTTTTTAACTCATCATCATTCAAAACTTTGGAATTTTGATGCATATCTTTGCACTCATTTTCTTTCCCTATAAGTTTTGCCTCTACAAGCATAGTTCCTGAAGAGACGTCTTCACCAGGTAGATGACGCTTCCTCAAAATAGCTAAGATGGAAAAGGCTGGAATATAGCTTGATCCTCTTAGTGCTGCTGGCAATCCAAGATAGATGTACCTATCAAAAAAATGTTAAAACATATTAAATCTTACATAGACAGTGTGGTGAGGACAAATAAGTTTGAAAATCTTTAATTATTGGTATTTTATTGCCATAAGGACAACAACAGCTAATTGTTTTGTATGTTGATCTTATATTAGCAAGTTCGCTGAACTCACTTATTAATTCTAAATGTGTGTTAAAATGTTTTTTTGGAATTTTTTCATTCAGAAAATCCAAATTTATTTTTTTCTTTTTTAATCTTTTGTTACTATTTTTGTTTTATTTTTACATTAAAGAGAACCTCCAACTTAAATTTAATACTGACAGTGATAGCATTTTTATTCCAGTGTTTAACACGGATGCTTCCAAAGAATCACCATTACTTATGATATTTACCCTTCTGGGATTTTTAGATGACATTAATCAGGTTAAGGAAGTTCCTCTCCTCTCTGCTGACTTTGCTCAAAACTTTAATTATAAATGTGTAAAATATCACCAAATCATTTTTCTGCATATAGTTAGCAGAACACCCAAGATTTTTCTCCCTTTATTGTGTTAACAGAGTATATTACATTAATAGATTTTTCCAAACTTCCATGCCTAAAATAAACCTATTAGTGAGTTTTTATACATTATTAAATTCAATTCGTTAATTTTTTATTTAGAATTTTCACATGTACATTTATAAGTAAGATCAGCCCAAGCTTTTTCCTCATACTGAACTTGTCTAATGTGAATATCAAGATTGTACTAGCTTTGTAAATCAAATTGGGAAGTTTTCCCTCTTTTTCCATTTCTTGGAATATCTTGTATGATACAGGATTCGTCAGTTCATTGAAGGCTTGTAAAACTTGCTTTGAAATCATCTGGACTTCGTGCCTTTGGAAGATGGGAACTTTTGACTGACACAAGTTTTTAAATAGTTATAAAAATATTCACGTTTTCTATACATTAAAATTTGGTAATATATATTTGTGTAGAAACCTATTTAATGTTTCCAAATTGTTATATCTAAAATCCCTAAGTATCTGTACTTGTATTACCTTTTTCATTCTTAATAGTGTTTATTTGTGCGTCCTCTTTCTTTATTTGCCTTTCCAGATTACAGTCATGCATCGCTCAATGATGGGGATACATCCTGAGAAATGTGTCATTAGGTGATTTCCTTATTGTGTGAACATCATAGAGTGTACTTACACAAACCTAGATGGTGTGGCCCACTACACACCTAGGCTATACGGTACTAATCTTATGGGACTATCATCCTCTAAATGGTCCATCATTGACTAAAATGTCGTTATGCAGTGCACGACTGTACTGTTATTATTATTATATTTTAATCTTCTTAAAAACACAGCTTTTTATTTTTTTTGGTTTCCTTTATGGTTTGTAGTGTATTTATTAATTTCTGCTTTTTAGTTTCATCTTTCTACTTCTAAAATTTTCTTTTATTATGAAATATTTCAAGAATACAGAAAAAAATGTTACCAAACATGTTTGTACTCCCCACCTAGGTTTTCTAAATGACTAAATTTTGCCATTTTTGTTTCAGACCAGTTTAAAAGAAAATACTAATACATTTAAGTCCCATGTGTACCCTTACGATTCTATCACCTTCTAACCCATCCCAGATGTACTACTATGTTAAATTTTATGGATTTTGTTTCTAGTTTATTTTTTATAATTTTAGAAAGTCTGTATGAATACATTCATAATATATACAATTATTTTATATGTTTTTATATTTTAAATAATTGGCATAATACTGTTTTATTCTGAAAATTTCTGTATTAGCCCACCATCTTACAACTATGTTTATACATGTAGTTCTACTTCACTTATTTTTAACTATTGTTAAATAAGTATGTGAACATTTAATCCAGTTTCTTATTGGACACATATTGTTCAAATTTCTTCTAATATTAACAATACTGCAATAAACCTCCTTTTACATGTCTCCTTGTGCATGTGAGCAAGAGTTTCTCTAAAATATGTAATGGTCTTAGAGTACGCAAATCAGTAGCGATGGCCCAAACGTTCTCTTCAATAGTTTTTATTCACCACCAGCTATGAATGAGAGTTCCTGATGCTCCCAATTTGTGTTATGTATGTGGCCATATTTGCCTATTTCTTGCTCTGTGGTGTGTGTTTTTATTTCAACCTAAACCCAAAGCAACAAGGATTATACAGACATTAGGATCTAGTGTTGGTGATAACCTATCTGCTACTTGTCTAATTGTTATCCCTTTGAAAGCCACCTGTTTATTTCTCTGGGTAACTTTTATGTTGTTTTCTTTACCTTGAGGGTTTGTCATTTTATTCTGATATATCTATTTGTATTTATTCTACTAGGCATTTGAAGCGCATTTTTGATCCGAAAATTCGTCTCTCTTAAATTCGAGGAAATTCTAAGCCATTAATTCTTTAATTTATCTCTGCCATTTCCTCCATTCTCTTTTCTAGAAATTTTCTGAGATATATGCTTAATTGTTACTTGGCCTTTAATATGACTTAGGTAGTTCATTTCTGTTTAATCAGTTCATATCATTGATTTACATTCTGGATAAATTGTTCTGTATACACTTCCAGTTTACCAATTCTTTTTAACTACATTAACTTGAAATTTATTACATATTTAGGATCCTTTTATTATCTCAATGCTATACATTTAATCTGTAATATTTCCAAGAGTTCTTTTTGATATTCTTATTTCTGCTAGAATTTTTCATCATTTCTTGTTCATTTTTAATGAATATTATGTCATCTATTTACTATTTTTAATCCTATTGAGCTAATTAAGCATATTTATTTTAAAGTCTTTGTCAGACTCTTACATTAAATTAAATTTAATCTGAAATAAAGTCATGTTTCAATTGGTAATTTGTGTGCTTATCTATTCTACCACTGGATTTGTTCATGTGTTTTTAAGCTTTAGTTTGCAAGCTCTTTTTGAGTGCTCTGTTGGCTGTGGTGGTTGCTCATTTTAGTTTTCCTATCTTGCTCTGTTTGCCTGTATTTACTCCTCCATATCTCATAATTTTGCTTTTGCTTTTCCCTATCCCCCAGGTCTTAGGCCAGACCTAGTTCTTATAAGGGTGATTTTTCATAGTGATACTAGGAATAATCACAGAAGGAGCAGATTGCTTGGTCTAGTTCTTAGACACGTCTGTGTCTTATTCTCTCCTTAGTAATACAACAATGAAGTGCAAAAGGGCTTTTTAAAAATTTCTTTTACAATGAGGTTTGTATTCATTTCCTAGGGCTCTGTAACAAAGCACTACAAATTTGATGGGTTAAAACAAAAGAGATGTATTCTTTCACAGCCCTGGAGCCTAGAAGTCTGAAATCAAGGTGTTGGCAGGGCTATGTTTCCTCTGAAGGCTCCAGCAAAGAATCCTTCCCGGATTCTCCCTAGCTCCTGGTAATTGCTAGCAATCTTTAGCATTCCTTGGTTTGTAGATGCATCATTGCAATCTCTACCTTTGTCCCCACATGGTGTCCTCCCTGTATGTCTGTGTCTCTGTGTCTCCTTTCCTCTTCTGATAAGGACACCAGTGACCGGATGTAGGGCCCACTCTAAACCAGGATGACCTCATCTTAACAATTTAACTAGTGCCATTTGCAAAGACACTATTTCCAAATAAAGTCCTATTCTGAGGTTACAAGTGGACATGAATTTTGAGGAACATGACTCAACCTAGTCCAAGGGTATTGTACTCCACATTGGATTAAAGTGAATCTGAATCCTTAAGACTTTATTTTACCTTTGGAAGTTGATCTCCCAGAAACCACTGCCTATTTCTAGGCTTACAGCCTTTCCATTCAGCCTTTGACTTCAGCTCTGTTTACTTCTTTATGTTTCTGTTCAATTTCTGGTTTAGGAAAACCAGATGTTC